TTGTCGTTTCTCCAATCACAAATGCAGACATGGTTTTATGTTTATGTGGCGCGATGCAACGCAACGTGTAAAAATACAGCACGTCATTATAATCAGTAATTATGTCCCCACTACATGCTACAAATGCCTCGTTTATAATGGGTTTTATTGGTTTTGTCTCGTCGAGTATGTGGAAAATAATGTGTTTTTTGAACCTTAAACCACATAAACACATTTCATTACACCAAATACACAAAATAATGTTATTTTTTAGCAACGCCATATGACCCCTTTAATATTAGCAGTATGAGTAAATAAGCCTCTTTATGAAAAACAAAGCATTGCAGTGATTATGTGGTAAATTTTTTACAAAAAAGCTCTGTTTACTGAGCAGTTAATGTGAAGCAAGATGACAAATTCGCAAAATGAGTGGAAATGCCTCAGCTCCTTCATAAGACTCATCACTGTCATGACTAAGAAATAACGGTCTTTAAACATGCACTGGTATAAGCTGATTGGTCCATTTATTTACACATATCTGTCGAGGAACAAAGAGCTGATGCATTTGAAGAATAGATTGTAAATCAAACAAAGCTGATGGGGGAAAAATTTTTTCAAAATCAAATCTTGCAGTTACATACAAACAGCACAAATATCTTGCCAACTATCCAGGCAGCCACCCGGCGACACAGATAAGACCTGTTAGGACGGCAAACACAGCCCCTCCAGAATGCAGCAACAAAAAGACGACACATTGCGCCAAGACTGAGGCACCAAAAGGAATTCTGGGCGATGTAGTCAGAGCAAGCCATGCTTTGAAATATAGCTACTCCTTTTCCACCATGCTGGTGCTGGCGCCAAAGCCAGTACCCAATTTGGCCCGGTTTCATACATTTCCACTGAAGGAAAAGTGGTTTATACTGGCCCTAAAAAATGACTGAATACATTTTTAAAAACAACTGTACCGTTTGTGGTCAGTACATGGTCAGTTTAGAAATAAAAATATTAATAATTAAATAGATATATTAATAGATTTCTATTTTACACAAACACAATTCTATTTTTCTATATATATATTTTTTTGCATTTTGGCATTATTTTAATTAAAATTAAGCAAACTCTTCCTCAATTTTTAGTACTGTAATGCAAAAAATCTCACTCAATATTATTATGTGTAAAAAAAGTATTTTGAATTATATTAATTTATATGATATTGATTAATTTAAATTGTAAAGAATTTATGCATCATGGTAGTATTTAATATACTGAATTTAAGTTAAATTTTATTAATTAAACATTAATTTACATTTAATTAGACATCTAAAAATAAAGTGTCAGGACATGATTGATTACACTTAATATTTTTACATTTATTTTATTTATCTTTTTTTAAAGAAATTAATATTTTATTTGACACAAAAGAGATGGTACATACTTTTATAATGTTACAAAACATTTCTACAGTAATTCAAATGAATCACATTCTTTTGAACAATTAATCAAATCATCTATTTATCAAATAATCCTGAAAGGATTTCCACAAAAATATTAAGCAGCACAACTGTTTTCAACATTGCTAAGAAGAAATGTTTCTTGAACAGCAAATTATATCAGAACGATTTCTGAAGGATCATGTGACACTGAAGACTGGAGTAATGATGCTGAAAATTCAGCTTTGACCACAGGAATAAATTACTTTTCAAAATATATTAAATTAGAAAACAGTTATTTTAAAGTGTAATGATGTTTCACAAGAATACTGCATTTCTGATCAAATACATGCATCCACATAAAATATTGTGGATGTTACAATATTCATAAAAAAAGTTTCATTAGCCAAGCACCAGCACCACCTGGTGGAAAAGGGGTAAGGGAGAGGTGGAGGCTCCACACACAGCTTGACTTCAGCATTTACTGGATGACTTCCATTCACTTTGTTCAATACTGGAGGATCCCAGAATCCTCTTTGTGAAAACCTACCTTTCTGTGTGAAAAATGTGAGCTGTATTCCCTCAATACGGTGGTTTGTGCACTGGATAGTGATTAAGTCTTGTGCACAGTGAGGGGGAGATCAGCCAGGCCTCATTAGACCCTTGTAATGGGTGAGAAACTCCATCCAAACAGGATGAGGTCGATGTGCAGTAAGCAGGATGAGTCTTAAGGGGATAAAGGAAGAGTGCAGAAGGGAGTCTGGGGCTTCAAATTGTCTTGTGCGTAATGGGATGAGTGCTCAGACGGGTCCATTTAGAGTGCATTAGTCAGTCTGCTGCTGAGTGTGGCGTCGTCGCCTGGCGAGGCGTTTATCGAGAGTGATTTCCAGTTCGGTTTCAAATTTAGGGCAGTGCGAGTTTAACTTGAGAGTGAAAAAACACGTGGCATGCCACACTTATAAACACATGAATGGGTCATCACAGGAAAGAAATGCTCAAGTCAGCCTGAGAGCTTAGCGGGCATACCAGCTTCAACAGACCACAGGACATGAAGCGAAAGGTGACGACAGGAAAGAGAGGGAAGGAGGAGTGGGAGGATGTAAAAAAGAGAGATAATTACTACAGAGTTGGTTGCAGGGGCACACTTTTTTCACCATCTTCCCTGAAGCATGGAGAGAACGGTGGGATTGGAGAGAATCAGTGTTACAGTAACTCCACGTCCAACACAGTGCATTATGGGAGTGCTAGTCTAAAACCTGAAATCAAGCCCTGATGGCTGTTACGCTCATGCTCAGTGAAGGTGGGGTGAGCGAAGGAAGGTTCACGTGTGTCGGGTCTGTGATCAGGTGCATTAACATTGTGAGGGCAGCTAAAAAAAGATAAGCTTGCAAAGAAAGAAAGTGCTGATGCGAGAGGATGTGTGAAAGTACCTGCTCTGAGGGACTTGAAATATTTTTTTTTTTAAATAAAAGAAAGAAAAGAGACTAAGGAAAATTAATCAGATTGTAAGATATATGCACTGACTTGCCTAGTTTGGAGAAATATTTGTCTCCGTTTCAGCTGTTCAGTTAACTCCTTTCAAGAGATTTAATTATAAAAATGTGTGTGAATTATTACATAAATAATATGAGGAAATGAGAATAGTAAGTTGCAGATTCACACCGCATGTGTCAGAAAAGGAAGAGCCAAAAAATACTGAAGAACATGAGCCATATCATTATATTATATCAACATACAGTATCATTACAATAAAGTACAGTTAGTATTTGCATTACAGTAGGTATCATGAACTAACAATCTTATTGTAAACTAAAACTATTAAAAAAAAGTTAAAATAAAATATAAAACTTAAATTAGATATAAAAATATTACACTTAAAAAACAAACAGAAATTAGAAATGCCTTGGCAATTAACTGAAGTTGAAGTAGTAAGATAAAGAAAAAAAATTATAATAATATATAAAATAACTAAAATAGAAATATAAAATAAATATAAAATATAATTATATACCACAATATTAAAATATATGATATATTATAACTGTACATTAAATGTTAAATATGTTAAAAATAAACGAAAGTGACAAGTACATACAATTATTAAAACAAATAAAAAAAACTAATTCAAAATATTAATACGTATTTTAACAGTGTCAATCATACTAAAATAACACTAACAATAAACTACTATACACAATTTATTAATCTAGGCTTATTAGGCCCTTAATCTAGGCTTATCATGTTAATTATTTTTTTGTTCATAATATATTAACTTTACTGATTTATACACCTTGAAATTATTCAGCATATGTAGAAATTAATATTTACCTACATTAATAAATGATGTTCATTATTAGTTCATGATACCTTTTTATTATTAATAATGATAACATTTACAACTTTATTGTGAAGTGTTACCAGTATATGGATACTGCACATTTAAATGATTAGCTATAATTACAACAATTGGACAAAGTTGTTTATGGCATCCAGCTGTGATTTTTTGTGTGAAATTGATGTGTATTTTCCCGCTTTCAGTATAAATTGCTTGCTTAAACTACTTGGGAACTGCTAAAGTACAAGCCGTACTGTTTTCTGACACTGTCAAATGCAGCATGTTATTCCTCTTTTAAATTATTAGTAATTATCTTTAGCAATTTGCACATTTTGTTATGATGTTAAACCAAAGCATATATGAAGGAAAATATTAAAACTAGTAAGATGAATTACAAATGACAAAGTGCCCACTGTGAACACAGTTGAATTAGAAATAATTATGGGACCTCATAGGTTTCACTAGTGCATTACGGGATATGAACGATAACTGTTAAGCGATGAGAAGTTGTTTTTAAGATTCATGACACAATGTCTGAGATGATCGGCCAATCAGGAGGAAGAGACAGTAAGAGAGAGAGAGAGAGAGAGAGAGAGAGAGAGAGAGAGAGAGAGATGGAGCAGATAGCAGAGAGAGAGAAAGGAAACGTACACAAATACACAGTGAGAATGGTAACAGAGGTCAGTAAGCCATGAATTCCTGACAGATAGAGAGAGTGAAGGAGGTGAAGGAGGGGAGGAGTGGCCCTGGGTGGGTGAGCGTCGAGTTGTACAGAAAAGAAGGGGAGGAAAAGCACCCCCTTGAGGCACAAGCATCAGCCCTGCAGCTATATCCAAACCAAAGCGTGCGCTTTCTCAGATAGGCAAAGCAAATATTCCTATGTTTAGAGTTCACCTGCACTACCACAAATAGGGCCGATATATGATCCACCACAAAAATCATAGGAACATTAGAGGGGAAAATAACATTTTAATGACCGCTGGACAAGTTCCTTCCAACTGTGTCATCCTGAAGTTTTCTCCTCAAATTTGGAAGACCCACAGGAAATAGGTCAGAGCTGCTTTATGTGACTAAAACATCCAAAAATGACTGAACCAAAATAGTAAACTATGTTATTTAGGAGTGGGCGATATACGGGTTGAAATTAGTCATAAATACCATCATTTTGGCATAAATTTGCAAGGAAGAAGGTGAAGCACGAACAGTTGTCCCGTATTTTGAAATCAAAGCAAATGCTTACCATTTTAAAATAAGAAGAGAGAAATCTAATCTATTTACATTAAAAAGACTATTTAAAATTATAATTTTGTCCACAATGTTTAGATTTTATAAAACAAATAATTTAAGATTTTTTAAATTAAATTTAAAGGGGTCATATGATGCTTTTTTAAAGATAATTATTTTGTGTATTTGGTGTAACAGAATATGTTGACATGCTTTAATGTTCAAAAAACACATTATTTTTCAAATACTGTACATTATTGTAGGTCCTCTATGCCCCGCCTCTCTCAAACGCTTCGTTTTCTACAAAGTCCCTCCTTCCGACAAGCGCAGTCTGCTCTGATTGGCCAGCTGACCCAGTGCATTGTGATTGGCCGAACACCGCAAGCACTCGTCGGAAATGTAATGCCCCTTACCATAATCGCGAGCTTCATCTTTCAAAATAAATGTAAAGACAGAGCCCGAAAGAGGAACAGAGTCGCGTGACAGACACAGTGATGAAGCTGGTATGTGTTTGCAGTACACAAGCCACGGTTAAGACAGCTGACTCCACTGTGATGTGACCCCCTCTCTCTCTCTCTCAC